AAATTGCACATCTTCCAATTCCATGGTTGAGTGAATGTGGGTTGAAAAAATGAAGGCCAAACGTTAGACGAGACTCAAATTGGTTGACGAAGAAATGGATATGTGATTAAATGGTTAATAGGGAATGACAGGGTTGCAAAGGTGCCTCAAGTCATTGGTGTACCTTGTGTTTAGTTCGCCAATTGATGATTTTTTTTATTTTTTTTATTTTTATCACATGATCGAATGTAAGAAAGAGATGCTCATTTATGAAGAAGGTAAGAAATGTGACGTATAGACACATGGGTAAGGAGAACCTATGCTAGACTTTTTAGGGGGAAGGGTTTGAAACAAAAGAAGAAGAAAACATGAAATGTTGGTGAGAAGCATGCATCGTGCATTGTATTCATGGTTGTTTATGAGTAACTTCTTGCCGCCTGGTGAAAAAAAAAAGTTTCTTGTTGTTGATGCTTTGATTGGAAGGAGAGAAGGAAGGAGTGACGTTCCCCTTATTCTTCCAACTATTGCCTAGTGATTTTAGACTCAAGTACTTTGTAAGGATGAACTCACTTAATGCATTCACTCAATACTCAGATTGGAAAGGAAGAGCGTAAGAAACAATTTTGAAATCTGATGGGAAATACTCCACTCATTCCTATTACGATGGAAAACTATACATGCATGGGCCCTAGTATACGATCATAATCAATAAAGTGCATTACTCGAAGACAAAGTGTGTGAAACGACTCAACATGTGTGATTAGGTGAGTTTATTAAGACTCGTGGTATGATCGCATGGCTAGACATGAGGACATTGTGAAAAACAAAGGACCTAATGACCAAATAGCACGGAAGACTAAAAGACAAACTAACTTGATTAATTTTGTCCATTTTTAATGTTTATGCTATTTACTAAGTGAAAACGGTCCATTGGAAATCATTAGTCATAAATAAGATCAACCACGATCAAAGACAAAAAACACATGTTAAGGTTAGCACTAGGAAGAGAACTAGAATTCTAGAAGAGTTATGACTCATGGGTATAAAAAAAATAAATAAAAAAATAAAAAAATTCTATAATTCTATGTTATACGAGTTGACACGGATTAAAGGACTTGGCTAAGACTATCTTGACACGATTTTTATTTTTTATAAAAAAAAATAAAAAAGGTAACGTTCAAAAGACACCTAAACTGGACAGGCTGTAGTATATCGGTTATAACTTTTGATCTGTGACTTTTATTGGGACGAAACCAATTCCAAATGAAAGATAAAACTCGGAGATATAGATCCATAGGTGGCACGACACGTAACTCTTTCTAGAACTCCGGCTATGACCAAAACAAGTTGACTCTTGTGCAGTATACGGGAATTAAAATCCGGGTGACTCAAAAATTAAAAAAAAAAAAAAAATCTATGGCCCGACCCTAATAATAAAAAAAGGGTTTGATAAGAGAAAAAAAATAATTAAAAAAAGTTCAATAAAAAAATGCACACATAAGCATATAGTCACACATGATGCAATGAAGTTCGCAACTTAAAGTCAAGTTCTATGTTCGACTATGGTCAAGCTTTTGGGTGTCAAAGGGTATCATGGTTAAGAGTTTGGACGCGTTAGCAAGGAAGCCTCCCTTGAGGGTGTATGCCAACGGGCGGCTCCGCGAGTTCGTGATGAAATCGAACTCGACTCCATGGTTTGGGTGGATTTAAAAACTCGGATGAACCCTTATCGCCATGAGCGTTTTCGGGTCGATAGAGCATAAACCCCCCCGGGCTAGCCACATACGTAGAACACGTACTATTGTGGAAAAATAGGTAACCTAAAAAAAATCATATGCATATGTGACAATGCCAGTTAAATCGCAGGAATACAATTCAAGAATCTTTCAAGTCTCATCCACTCATCTTAATTAAATACCGATCACTCAAATCGATAAATAACCAAGAATCCTCCCCAGTGGAATCGCCAAATTGTAGCCGTCGTTCGAAGTGCGACTACGTTAAAGCATGTGTGAATATGCTTGGCACTCATAGGAAGTGGGAATTGACATTACGATTAGGGACAACGATTAGGGACAAATAACGTAGGGAGCCGCCAACAAGTTTTTTTAGGAACTTGTAAACCGTTCACGGATCATAAAAGGCAACCACGAATAAGGGACAACGAAGGCAACAACGATTGACCCGTGAAGGTTAAACCCCATTCATAATCCATGAGATTACTAACTCCATATGGTTCGGAACCACGAAAGGAGGATCGGGGATGATGGTACGAAGTGAGTCGTGGAGTCACATTCGCCCGTATTGGCCTCTACTCGATTCTTATATTGAAAAGCATTCCTGTGATCTCAAAGGCATACAAACAAAATATTCAATTCGCTCCAAACTAATATTTAGCTAAATTGGTTGAATATTAATGCAACATATAATTCTAAAATATTTGTGACCACTTGAATTAAACAATAAGATTAAAAAGGAACCTAAACTGGTTGTCCAAATTATCTTATTAGGCGTGGTTTTCAATTATATATTCCCTTTAAACATGCAATATGGTGATCAATAAAAAATATAATAGAGTAAACATTAATATTGGAAGCAATTTAACAATAATAGTGTTATCCAAATCAAATAATAATAATAACAACCCTAATCATGATACTAGCAATATTAAAAATAAAATAAGAGTAATTCAATTAATTAATTACTCACATTCTGCGCGTTCCTTTAAATTGCTACATCATGAATAAACTGTTAGTAACTTTAATAAAAATATAAATCAAATGAAAATTAAATTAAAATAGAGTTGATTTGGTCCAAACCCTCAGTCAATTATACCTTTCAAGCCTTGGTTTAAGTATAGAACTTTGGGTATAGTATGGAATCCTTGGAGTGCTTAAGGGAAGAATGGTGTAATTAGGAATATAGGTTTAAGGCTTAGAATATCGGAGAGAGAGATGAGAATGATTTTTGGTGTAAAAGAGAGAAAGAGAGAAGGATTTGATGATCAAGCTTGTTGATGTTTCAAAAAGGGGAGATGTGACCTCTATTTATAAGGGGAAAAGAGGGGTCGAATCAAGAAAAGATAAGAATTCGAATCGGATAAAACTCTTGCGATAGACAGCAGTTTTTGCGGTTTTTGTTTTTATAATATCTTTTGAACCAGAAATCGGAATAAGATGAATAAGATATTGTTGGAAATCTCTTGAAGTGTACTTTTTAACCCAATTAGAATCAGATTAAAATATTTTGTAGAACAAAATATATAGCCGAAATAGTGAGACGGTGTCAGTTTTGGATAGAGTTTGACATTTTATTCATATCTTTTCCGTTATAGCTCGGAATTGATATTATAATATATCATTGGAAAGATAATTTCAAGGGCTATCTAACCATATAAAATTTGGATAAAAAGTATGAGGCACGAAAAAAATATCTGTCTATCTTTGAACGTCTTTCAATTCGGATATAAATAGGATTTTCAAAAAGAAAAGTTTTATTCAATTTCAAACTCTTTAATCTTATCTTTTCAAAAAGGATAATTAATATCATTTAGAAACCTATAGAGGCTTCTAATTAATCCTAATTATTTTAGGAATTGGATTAAATAATTTGGACCCTCTACATGATCATTGGGTCGTAGGTAAGGTGGGATTAGGTTCGGTTTGGGCTTAGTTTAATATTTTGGCCATAACTTATTCGTTATAACTCGGATTTGGGCTTGTAATATATCGTTGGAAAGCTCTTTTAAAGCCTCATCCAAATATTCAATCATTAGACCCAGATTATGGACCAAAATAAACTGGAATAAACGTTTTTATAAAAAGGACACGAAATGATTGATTTTAAAGGACACGAAATGAATTATTTTGGGTTTAAAGGCACGAAAAGAGGAAAATAAGTTATGGTTTGGGGAAATGGGCTAGTAATTGGGTTGGTTTATGAAATGGAAATATGGATTTAAGCACTCCAAAAATTAAATACTCAACCCGACCAATAATGGTGGTGAAAGGTTGTTCATCATCGGGTTTGGTTTTGGGGAGACATTTTTAGGTGTCTACAGTATATTGTTTGTTTAATTCAATTATTAAAGATCTTTGTTATCTTTTGTCACTATATGTTAAAATAAAGTCACTATATTATTTATAAGGTCTTTGTTTGGTTTAAAAAAGTCACTTCATTACCATAGGTCACTATATGTTAAAATAAAGTCACTATATTATTTATAAGGTCTTTGTTTGGTAAAAAAAGGCCACTTCCTTTTCAATATTTTATAGTGTCAAAATTAAGGACTATGTTTTAAATTAATGGTAATTATCATAGGTCACTATATGTTAAAATAAAGTCACTATTTTATTAATAAGGTTACTATTCTAAATATAAAGGTAACTAAGTCGAAATTATGGACTATGTTAACTAATGGTAATAAACTAACAATATAAGGGTATTGTATAAAGATTACTATATTAAAATAAAGATCACTATATTGTAAAAAAAGTTTACTATTCCAAGAAGTATATTTCTCAAAATTAAAGGTTACTATGTAAATCATAAAAGATACTATATCATAATAATCAGTATTTAGTTTTAAGATTTGAGCATTTCATTTTCTTGATTTGTTATCTGTTGATCACAGGAAACATTGAAACAGCTTTAACAACTAAAAGGAGCCTTCTGTGTAGGACAACAAAGTACCAATTAACAACAAGTTTAGAGAAAAAAGATTTGTGTATAAGGTATTATAGTACTCATGTGCTTTATTCCTTGTTTCTTTGAAAAGCAATAAGTACAATTAAGATCAAATCAAATGACATTATACAATAACAAAGGACACTATGTCAATCATAAAAGACACTATATCATAAAAAAGACACTATATCTTAAAAAAAAGAAACTATATAAGTATTTAAAAGATATAAAGTTTCCAAGAATGAAATTACAAATAAAAGGTAACCATGTAAGAATTCAGGTTACTATGATAAAAAAATATTGTTCTTAAGATAAAATTTGATGTCTTAAGACTATCATAGCATATACTTATTATTAATATTTGGTGTTTTGGCACCAAATTCTATATGTTTCCTCCTCTTCCCCTTTTTCATGTAGTCATAGATTCCTGGAATCCTTTTATTTGATTGGCCTCCTTTAGTTTTTGCACGAGCTGGGTCTAGTACTTGAACCACATTAGATAAAGTTGCTTCTGAATTCTCTTCTACACTTGTAGTGTTCTCAGAATGGTTGTCAGTTGACTTCATAGCAGAAATAATCTCATCAATTGCACTTGAATCTTTTGCATAGCTTTCTTCTAAGACTTTCCTTGCTTTTTCAAACTTGTGGCTCTTAAGGATTAAACTATAATACTTCCTCACCATGTGTAGTCGCCAGGGTGTGAAGTTGTTTAATATCCCCTTCTTCCTTTGCTCTGCCTCAATACTCTGCCAAACTTTATCCTTAGCCACTTTAGTCCACCTGACAGATATGTATTGCTCTGGGATTTTTTCAACAGAATGCATGTGTAAGATTCTAAGGCTATGGAAGCATAACCAACCTGACTCTTCAAAATTCTTGCATGGACATTGAATTGTTTGGTTAACTGGATCATAAGTTACTGCTTGAATTGTGCCATCTCTGCCTTCAAGGTACACTTGGTAAACCATTTTATCTCCATTAATGAATAGCAGTTTAGTTTGAGATCCAATGGCTAGGTTGAATTCTTCTTCAAAGTCCCTGAATAATGTATGTGTATAAACCTCAGCAGCATGTTTTAGTAAGGCAGACATTGGATAGCTTGAAGTAGGAATTGATTTTATGCTATTGAACTCATAAAAATCCTCATTCCTTCTCCAAGTCTTCACTGTCTTCTGAAATATGTTGTAGAATTCTGTCAAACTTGTTTTCTTGTTTGCTTTGAATCCCACTGAATGATTTGTGCTCTCACTTCTCTGTGATGACAAGATTCCTGCGGAGAAAAAGTCTTTACTTAGAGTTGTTGACCACTTGTGCTTTAGTGAGTATAACCTTTTGAACCAACTATTGTTTTTCAGTTTGTACTTTGTCATCATTAAATCCCAACATACTTCAAACTGAGCTTCATTAATACAACCACTCAAGCATTTCGATCATGAAAGCAGCTTTGAATGTATCATCACTCTTCAAAACTCCAAATCTTGTTACAGCATTTTGAATCAAGTGCCATAGACATAATCTATGTCTAGTATTTGGAAATACCTGCACATTTTTATACAGTTACTATAGTTTCAAAATTGCTTATTGCATTTAAAATATAGGTAACTATATAATTTTAGTACAAACATATTTAAATGTAGTGGTATTCAAAAAGTTCCTTCAAAATTAGAAAGTACCTTTGGTATTGCTGCTGCCATGGCTGCATCTTGGTCTGTAAACAATGATACAGGACATTTACCACCCATTGCCTTTTTGAAAGTCTCAAATAACCACACAAATGAATCTGTGGTCTCATCACCAATAAAAGAACAAGCAAACATAGTGTTCTTCCAGTGGTTGTTTATTCCTACAAAGGGTGCACAAATGAGGTTGTAACGATTAGTCCTATATGTGGTGTCAAATACAGTGACATCCCCTTATATTTTATAATCTTCAAACATCATGGAATCCCTCCAAAACAAGTTACAAACCCTTCCATCCGAATCCAACCTTACTCTGAAAAAGAAGTTAGGGTCCTCAGAATAAGCTTCCTGTAGTTTGTCACAAACTACTTGAGAATCTCCTCCTTCAATGGCCTTTATTTTCAGTTTATAACAATAATTCATGTGGTCTTTCACTGTATGACCAATAGCATCTTCTCCACCAGCTTCATTTGACATGTAATTAAAGTATTCCATAGGTCTTAGTCCAAATTCTTGCATGGCCTCAATCACTTGCCCTTTAATTCCAGTCATTGCACGCTCTGAACGTGGAAATGGTTCCATTGTGGTCTAGTGAGTGGATGATTGTGCACCAACACACGCTGAACTATCTCAAATTGCCCTTCCTCATTCAATTTTGCTATTATCAAAGCATTACAGTTTGTCCTTGTTATTGGAACTCTCCTACTTTGTCTTTTTTTTAACTGAAGAACTTTCCTCTGTCAAGAGTACTTCTGTAATTTTTCCCTTCTTTTTACAAGAATTTCTTAATCCTGCTGCAGAACATACAAAGAACTTTTTGGTGATGATATCTTTAGTTCCAATTTTGCTTGTTTGTTTTGCTTTTCTAACACTAAAACCAACTGCAGCAGCATGTTGACAATACAATTCATGTATTTCCGCAAGTGTTGCTCAAGTTTCTCACCAACCACTAATCTCATCGTTATTACTTGCACCTGTTATTTTAAAAAATAGATCACTATACTATCACTAAAGGCAATTATGTTACTTAAAAGTGGCTTTGCATGTCAGAAAAGCTTTAACAAGCATCATATAAGTACAATGTATTTATTTTTAAAAATAGATCACTATACTATCACTAAAGGCAACTATATTACTTAAAAGTTGCTTAATTATGCATAATCGCTTAATTTTCAATCAACATAAATTACACTTAATCGCTTAACTTTCAATCATCATAAATTACGCATAACTGCTTAATTCACAATTACGCATAATTCAATCAACATAAATTACGCATAATTACTTAATTTTCAATCAACATAAATATGCATAATCTCTTAATTCACAATTGCATAATATAATCGCCTAATTCAAATTATCAAATTAAAACCTAAATGTCTAATTTAATCTTCAAATCAAACAATTGCATAATCGTTTAATTCACATCATCAAATTCTAATATGAATTGCATATAAATATATCGTATAATACCTTGAGGTTTCATTAGAGATTGATTTTCCTCATGAACTTCATTCTCATCCTCAGCCTCAATAATAGCTTGTTCTTCATCTTCAACAGCTTCGTTCTGATCGAAATTGGACATTAATATCGAAGTTTTCTATAGTGTCCTGTATACTTCGATTTAGATCCATTTCTATTGATTGTATAGAAGAATTCTCCATGAAATTTGAAGAAATTGATTGATTAAGCAGAAAATAAAACCTAGAATTGAGTAGAATTAGAAGGAGAGAGATGAAAATTCGAGCTCTATTATAGTTGTTAATGGCGTCGAACTGGGAAGGAAATTAGTATGTGGCAGAAGAAATGGCTTGTGAAACAAGTCAGTGGACTGGGCTGTGAAATAAGTCAGTAGACCGGGATGGGCTGTTCAGTGGGATGTGGCACGTGAGACCATAAGGTCCACAATAAATTTATTGTGGACCAGGTCCACCCAAGAATTTTTGTGGTCGACTACGGTAAAATATTAAATTTGATCCGTTGATTTATTTTTTGTCTAATTCTAACTGTTCAATCCTACACCTATGCTACACAGTCATCAAAGGATTATTTGGCTAATTTTTTTTTTTATTTTTTTTGTTTTTACACGCATTATCAATTTTATAATATTTTATCTTCAACCTATATCATCTTTAACCTTATTAAAATTCGTATGAATTATATTGAATTTCATATTCAATCTAAATCCTTCATTTTCAACCAAAATAACATTCATCATCCTTCATCTGTGGCTAATCTATTAGAATGTAAAAGTAATATTGATTAAACTATACTATTACTTAAACATAATTAGAAGTATAGCAAATGGGAAAACAAAAATCATCTTAAGCCTTCATCATAATTCATCTCTATTATTAACCTTCATTGTCAACATTAACATTGAACCTCCATTTTTTACTTCATTATTTACCTTCACCCTTCACCAAAATATCCCCTAAATTACCAAACTCTATGAAAAACGCTAACATGAATGTCAAATTATCACAATTATGCCTACATTTCTATTTCATAGAAAATCAAATTAGTCAATTCATTTGAATCACATCTCAAGGGATAATTAATCTGAATCTAACTTCTAAAAAAAACTATTTTAAAACTCATATATCATGTTCATGTACAATAATTATATGGTCTAATTAAAATGATGGAGTACTTGATGGTACTAGTTTTTCTTTGTCTAATCTTAATCAACATTGATAAAAACTTTGAAGCTCTAAACATAACAGTCTGTAAAAAAAATTAAAAATAAAAAGGAATAGAGTAAAAAATGATAAAAATAAATAAATAAATAAAACCTTGCAGTCAATTAAGCGTGAATTGAGAATTTTTTTTTTTTTTGATAAAATTTATATTTATTTATCTTTATCTAAATAATTATATGGTCTAAAATTATGTTAATTAGATTTTTCTTTTCAACAAATTGGTGTATCTATTGTATAAATTAATACGGAGTATATATTACTTTGTCACACATTTTTTTTGAATATTCATATACATACAACTTTTTTGGTTTGACTTATTTTGCATACATAGAAATACAAAATACACTATGAAGTATAAGGTGGGAAAAGAAAAAAATCTTGTTGAGATAATAAGATATCAATGATTTTTTTGTATTCCTGAAAAAATGATTTCACGTTATATTTTTTTGAGGGAAATTAGATTTTTTTTTTTCTTTTTTGAAACAGTTATTTAAATACACTATGAAGTATAAGGTGGGAAAAGAAAAAAATCTTGTTGAGATAATAGGATATCAATGATTTTTTGTATTCCTAAAAAAAGGATTTCACGTTATATTGTGTTAAATAAGATTTTTTTTTCTTTTTTGAATCAGTTATTTTGATTTTTTTAGGCACCACACTTTCTTAAAAATAATTATAAAAAAAAAAAAAAAAAAAAAGCACTACCTCAATAGTTGTTACGAGTATTTTTTACTTTTGATATGAATATATAATCTTTAATTTTAAAGCTAGTTCATCTACATGACTACATCCATAGTGGAATCATAACAAAACTAATAATAGTAACAATATAATAATAACAAGTAATCATATACCGTATATCTTAAATTCTTTTAATGAAAATTAAATACATACTTGTAAGTTGTAATAGAAGTTACTCAAAAGTCAAAACTGTAGTCCTATAAAGCATACATACATAACTTTCGCTTTTAGATATCCTCAATTTAATTTTGGGCATTCTCAATATTTAATTTTGGGCATATCCAAAATTTGTTTTTTTTTTAAAAAAATTATTTTTTATTTATTTTTTTAGTTAGGCAGAATGATTGATAAAAATAAGACTTGAGTAAGATATAAATCATGGTGTAAAAATTGTTTTCCATTTTGGGTATACCTAAGTTATATTTGGGCGTACCTAAAACGAAGTACTTTAATTTTTTTTAAAATAAAATATCAAAGTAGTTTTACATTATTTCGGATAATCACATCCGTTTTCACTACTCTTGACATGACTAGATGTATTGTCACTCTATCTAACCAAAACCTTATTAGCTTATCACGGCTCTTATTAATATAGAAAGACCGATTTTAAATGATGATAGTTATTGCTCAGCCAAAACATTACCTACTACATAATGATCCTTGTTTATATAAAGGGTCTGTTCACATTTACTTAATTTCAGTTCAATTCAGTTTAGTTCAGCTCTAATCAGTTCAGTTCAGTTCAGCTCCGATCAGTTCAGTTCAATTCAGCTCCTAATTTTCTTCTCTCATAAAATATTCAGTTCAGTTCAGCTCCAATTAATTAAGTTTAGATTAGTTCAGCTCCAATCAATTCAATTCAGTTCAGTTCAGTAAATGTGAACAAGCCCTAAGAAACCCCTTATCTTAAATTTATTTAGGGATCAAGAAACAATATACTTGAATGTACGTAGTATGTAATAAAGAGCACAACTAGGTGATCCCAAATGACTACAATTTGGTCCCAAAATACAATATTAAAGATATGTTTGCTTTTGATCGAAGGACAATTATAAAAATTCATGCACGCATAGCAATTTTGTTTATTAGTCCCATTGTTTGCAACAAATTAACCTTGTGTATAACAAACAACCCCGATAGGCCTAGAGCATATTAATTTTGCTTTTAGGTATCCCCAATTTAATTTTGGTTGTACTTAAAATTTGAATCTTATTAGTCAATCATGACGATTGATAAAGATAAGACATG